AAGTACAAAATAGATTAAACAAGTGAGAAAAGCAGATATGGAGGAAGAGAGATGCCACGCCACATTAAGAGTGCCCAGGTGCAAGATCAAAGAAATAAGGATTTACCCCAGAGCCAGCACCCTGAATGTGGACTTCTAGACTCCTAAACAGTGAGAAAATAAGTTTGTTTTTAAGACCACTCATTTATGGTGCTAACCAGAAGGCTGGCCGTTCAAACCCACTAGCCACTCCTTGGAAGGAAGGTTGGGTGATCTACCTCCGTAGTGATACTGCTTCGGAAACCCAAGGAGGAGTCTCTGGGAGTTGGGGCCGACTCGACGGCACATAACAACAGCAACAACATTTATGGTATTTCTGTTACAGCAGCACTAGATAACTAAGACAACATAGAAAGGAAAATGAAATTAAGGCTAGAAAACATTAAATTTAGCAAAAATAGATAAGCAGAAAGATCAGTTTCTTTTTATTAGTATAATTTTTCCTTTTACAATTACATTTTAAAAGAGAATTGTGTTTCACATTTCTTTTTTTTAAATCAAATAATCTACTTCTAACTAGAATACATGAAATTCACACTGCAATAAGAACATTCTTTTAAATTTAATTAGAATAATTATAGTTGTCATTCCTATTTTTCTACAAATTCATCTGCATCATTTTCACATTTTCAAACTCTGTTTTCTGTACTGTGTTGTACCTTTTTTTTTTTTTAACAAAAAGATGTTTCAAATAATAAAGCCATAAAATAGAGTTGTTGATGGGAGATAGGGTGAGAACTGAAGTTGCATTAATTTAATCTGTGTGCACTTGCCAATTATTATAATGGGTTATTAATATAATATTCAGGAGCTGTGGTAGCATAGTGCCTAAGGCACTTGACTGCTAACCAGAGGGCTGGCAGTTCAAACCCACCAGCCACTCCTCGGAACGAAGGTTGGGCAATCTACTTCCGTAGTGATACCACCTCGGAAACCCAAGGAGGGGTTACTATGAGTCGGGGCTGACTCGATGGCACGTAACAATAACAAAACAAATATAATATTCATAGCTAGCTATTGGCAGGTGATGTATGTTTATTTAGTAGACAAAATAGATCTTCAGAAGCAATTAAGTAAAAAATTATGTACTAATGCAAAAACATTACTATTTTTTGACAAAGTAAAATCTAAACTATATTTTGTTGACAGAAAAAGCTTCCAAGACAGGATGGAGACAAGAGCAGTGCCAAAACATTCAATTGCCTAGTGAGACTGCCTTGTCCCAGGAAACACTGCCACTCAAGATTAATGCTTGGAAATCAACAGAGGTAAGTCACTGTGTTAATTTCCTATTGCTGCTGTAACCAGTTACAACAAACAGCAATGCCTTAACACAACACATGCTTATAATACCACATTTCTGTAGGTCAGAAATCTAATACTGGTCTCACTGGGCTAAAATCAGGATGTTGACAGAGCTGTGTTCCTTTTTGGAGACTTTAAGGGAGAATCGACTTCTTGTCTTTTTCCAGTTTCTAGAAGCTGCCCATGTATCTTGGCTTGTGGACCTCTTCCTTCATCTGTCAAGCAAGCAATGTTGCATCTTTCTGATCTTTCTGATCACAGCTGAGAAAAGTTCTTCACCTTTTAGGATTTGTATGATTAGATTGGGTTCACCTAGATAATTCAGGATACTATTCTCAGGTTCAGGTCATTCTTGGAAAGTCCTTTTTACCATGTGATATAACATTTTCAGGAGCTCTGGTGGTGCAGTGGTTAAGGCATTTGGTGGCCAGCAAAAAGGTTGGTGGTTCAAACCCACCCGCCACCCCATGGGAGAAAGACGAGCAATCTACTTCATAAGGATTTACAGACTTTGAAACGCTAAGGGCAGTTCTACTCTGTCCTATAGGGTTGTTATGAGTTGGAATCGACTTGATGGCAGTGGGTTTGGTGTTTGGTTTGTAAGATATTTGCATGTTCTGGGGATTAGGAAAGGAACTCGGGTGGTGTAGTGCCTAAGGCATTTGACTGCTAACCAGAAGGCAAACCCACCAGCCACTCCAGGGAAGGAAGACTGGACAATCTACTTCTGTAAAGATTTACCACCTTGGACACCCAAAGGGGGTTGCTATGAGTCAGAATTGACTTGAGGGCAGTGAGTTTGGTTTGGTTTTGGTTGGGAATTAGGATATAGACCTCATGGGAGGAGGGTAGTGATACTATTCTACCTACCAAAGTCATGAATTTATTCTTTTTTT